GTCTACATAGATAAAGACCTGACCCAAGCAATCCAAGAAATTAGCATAACAATTGCCTGAAGTCCATTAGGAAAACCAGGTTCACAAAACCAGTTCTAATTGTGTTCAAGTTTTATCAGTTTTCAGTGCGTTCTTCATCAATGAAAAAGTTTGAAATAATAAATAATGTGGCTTAAACAGAAACCTAGTGGGGCTGATTTCTATTGTATCTTCTGGTCTGTAGAGCAGACAATTTTCCTTACAGATTTGGTGCTGAATTCTCATTTTCAGCGAATGATTACAGTAACTTAGTGACCTGGCAAATGCTGTTTTCTTGTGCAGTCTTGTTTGTTACGTGTGTGGACCATCTATGTTAAATATTGTGTAGTTTCCAAGATGGCCATGATTACATCAAGCGATCCTTCGAAGCTCTTTGGTGTTCCTTCAGTCTACTAAATCTCCTTTCAAAAGGTTATTTAAGTGCATGAAGATTTCATTTTCAAAACAATTTACAAAAGATGGTGAATTACTTCTCCAGTAAATCGAAGTGGTTGTATATGCTTAAATCAAGAATCATGGGGATGTTAAGAAGTGCTACTAAACTTCACAGCACATGGTTACATTTTGCTCTGCAGTTTTTTTTAATTCACCCTGTTTTCAATACATTCTCAGAAATAAGAGATCAACCATATGAGAAATTTCTGTCGGTATGAATGTTTCTTTACTAGAAATAATGAAAAATCTGATTTTCAACCTTGAAAATGGGGGTCAACTTATACATGGATAAATTCGGTAATTAACTCCTTCACCATCAGTAATCACATTAAAGATTCTGTGTGAGAAATCACAGCACCATATCCCAAAATCTAATGTTGTCCTCAGCACAATTTCATTTTTTGAGCAAGGCAAAGCTAAAAATCAATCAAGGGCCACACAGACATCACAGAGACAACATTGCTATGTATAATGTTTATGTACTCAGATATGTAAAAGCTACTCTATTCGTTAATTCAATGTCAATACTCTCCTTCATAGTTTATAGCTATAATTTTAAGCCAACTTGGGAAATAGCAGCCAAAAATGGACCCTTTTGGACGTCCAAACTTTTAAATTTCAAGGGGAAGGTTCCCCAGACTTTGCCATCCAAGTGGGAATAAATGGCTGGCACACTGTCATTTTGGTCCCTCCTAGCTGCTCCAAAGCCTCCATATGTGTAGTAATGAAAACATTGAAGGGAAGAGTGTTATCTCAGAAAGAGATGATGATCATGCACACTTTTAATAGAGTCATCCTAGCAGATGTTTGTTAAGGTTTTGCATTCTTTGCTCAAAATCTAGTTTACATAGACCTGGGAGAAAAGAATGGGGTGTAGCAGTCATTCAGGTCGCTTAATTGCTCCAAGCTCTAATTTTATACCACTGCTCATTTGGTTATCTTTCTTACCGATACTCTTTCTGGTTATTTGGGTTTTCTTGGAAACTCAGGCTCTTGCCGTTGAGAAGAAGCCTGATATATTTTTACAAATTAAAAGCAAAGAAAAGTGAAAAAAAATTGGAGAGTAACAGGATGGTATCAAAGACTGGTATAATTTTTTTTTTTTTTTGCAGGGGGGTAGTTTTTTATTTTTACATCAGAGTTTTAGCCTAAGTATTTCTAAGTTTCTACACTTGTTGTTTAGTCTTGTGATTTCTTACTTTAAGAAGTCACTAAAGGTAAAATTTTTTTTATTACAGCCAATTGAGTCTGTAAATGGAAAGTAAACACAAAGTAATGATGGTAAGGAACAAATTGCTTGCACTATAAATTATTGAAAGTAGTCTGCACTCTCCATATTTGTTATTTTTAATTGACATGCTTTGCACAGGTGTTGTGTAATAAGTGTGAATAATGAATAAGACTGTGCAGCGAATTAGCTCGTGCTGCAGCATCCCATATCCAATAAATTCAATAGAAGACCCTTCGGTCATTTCACGCCTTATTGGATCTTGACACGTCCTTAAAAGAAAAGTTGCTTGAGACATATTTTTATCGTAAACATTTATGAAGCTTTCTTCTGATATATAGTTTGCTAAGATTTTAGTGAAACTACTGTAGTGTGCAAACAATTTTTTTCCCGAAGGA